AATACAAGTTTGTTTAAAATAAGAATGCCAACATCTGACCCCATTAGTGTTTCAGGTCAATGAGCTCCATACAGATTAGATCTGACTTACATATTACTATCATATGCTGGTTCTCCTTTCTCCTGGCGGTTGCTGTTCCATTCCCTACAATGGTCCACTTCTGTATCACAAAAAGCTGAAACATAAAAGAGGAAGTATAAAAGAAATCACTTTCTAATGGATGATTTACTGTTCTGAACTGTTCAAAGCAAAATAAAGTTTCCATTATTTCCTATAGGTGCTCTTGACAAAAAGGATCATGCAGGACATAGTCATGAGTTCCAATTTGTCCTACTTGTTGAATTAAAAGAACTTTTGTAACTTTGTTTAGGTGAGGCTCTATCTTGTAAGTTTACTTAGTTAATCCTTTGATAAATACCAAGAATAGCCTAAAAGGTAGCTCATCATGCAAACAATATTACCATCTGATTCATGATGTTAATTAAATCCATACTTTCAGAACACGTAATGTCGCTCTACAACTCCAGTTTGTTTGTATTATGCTAGGAAAGCCATCATTCTAAGTACATAGTACATAAACAAGAGAGCAAGTGCCTACCACACAATATCTTACTCCAGATGCACGCGCAAGACACCACAACTCATACCGGTACCCCTGCATATTATCAAGTGAAAGTCAATTAATTGTATCCAAGACAAAGACACAGGTACGCAATAATATTGCAAGACCATAATGCATTTGAGGCATCGTAACTGTAAAATGATGTAAGGCAAATTGCAGAATCTATTTTGTATCACAACTAACGTGAGAGTTTATACAGAACAGTACCGATGTAGCAATAACAAGAGCAGCACACAGTTGCAACTATGAGTGTCAAATCACTGATTCAATGAAAGCCAGTCAATAAAGATAGGAAGAAGCAACACTTCAAAGGTCTGGGAAACTTTTATGTCTTCTGGAACCCCGATCATCACAGTGATGAGGAGTAAAACTAAAAAGATAGACTGACAGAAAAGAGCAGCATCCTATTATTGATCGAGAACCGTCACTCAATGCAAAGGTCTGGGAAACTTTTATGTCTTCTGGAACCCCGATCACCACAGCGATAAGGAGTAAACTAAAAGATAAGACTGACAGAAAAAGAGCAGCATTCTATTATTGATCGAGAACCATCACTCAGTGCAAGTTTGAAAAAAAAATAGGATGAAGAACTCGATACTACCTCACCTTAATATTATTCAAAGAGTCGACGATAATTATGCTGTCGCGTGACACAGACCTGTCAACTTCTGATCTAAGAACTCCTCTCAAGTTTTTCTCCACCACCATATCTAAGAAGGGAACAACCAAAACAACGAGAAAGAAACAAGCTCATCACAGGGTCAAAACAGAAGTCCATGACTAGCTAACTAAGACATGTAATAATAACCAATACCTTTGTAACTATCGTTGCGCCCAAGATGGAGGGATGACTCATCAATGATACGGACAGTAAGGTCAGGTGAGGAGGAGCGCAGTGCCGCAGCAAGGCAAGCAGCGGCTGCTGATTTGCCGCTGCATGGCTGCCCACACATCACGACGAGTGCCATGGAAGACGTGGGAAACCTTCAGAGATAAAGGATGGAAAACATTCAGTCATACAAAAAGGTTGCCACACAGTAGATGCTCAGTATCCTACATGAGGACCTAAGGAGCAGCAGAAAAGTGATGCATTCATGATCTCGATGTAACACTAAGGGCCATGTTTGGATACACATAGCTAGTTACTGGTTGGGCTAAAAATTAGCCCAGATTATTTATCATTAGCTAGCTAATTGGCTAACAACTAGTCGAGAGACGGCTAAAAATTAGCCCACCTATTAGCTCTCTTGTTTGGATGCACTAGAGCTAATTTTTTAGCTAGCTAGCAATTAGCTCATGTATCCAAACATGCCCCAAATCATAGAAACAACCTTGTTATGTACGGCGATGTTCAAGGTTGTAAGTGTTCTAGGGCTCTAGGCTACCCTTTCTATAGCATCCAGATCCAGAAGCTTTAATGGAGCAACCTATTCTCTTCCAGCTGCTGTCTACTCAGTTGACCGTGGTTTTAGTTATAGTGCGGATATGACTATATATGACAACTACCCTGAAGCGCTCCCAGCCACACCAGGATGGGCGAGTAGTACCTTGAACTCTGATAGCCGAATCGTGCAATCTAATACGATTCTTAGAGATGATCAGTATCGTCAGTGTTACTACGATGATGGTTATCAAGGAAATCCTTACATCCCGGGTTGTAAGTGATTGATTACCCACAATCAACAAAGACACAAAGCGCAACTGAAGAGGAATTAGGGGGATACAATGAACCGGATGGAGCGAGGGGAGGGAACACGCCGGCGGTGAGCACGGCGCAGATCCGGTAAGCGGATCAGCGAACCATCGTCCGTGCGCCATGGGAATCCGCCGGTGGTGGAGCGCCCAAAACTGAGTGAGAATCGGCCCGATGGGGAGGGGGAGGGGGAGGGATCGCGTATGGACTCACCTGGAGCGGAGCGAGCTCGCCGGAGGGGGTTCACTGAAGGGAGCACCGGAGCAGAGGTGGAGAGCAGGAGCGGAGAGAGGCGGGGCGGCTGCTCGCAAGTGGAGTGCGTCGTCGAGCGTGCCTGGGCGGTGCGGGAGGCCCAGAGTTGGGACTGCGCCATTGGTCACGCGGGGGAGCTGAGCCTGAGAGGGAAGTTGGGCCGTATCCAGATCAAGATCAGCCCAAACGTGATGGAGTATCCGATACGGGTACGGGATACAGACCCTTTGACGTCCATACGGACGTTATACTCCGTTTCGTGCTTCGGCTCCGCGGTTGTGCTACCAGCCTACCACACGTGCATTGTTCACGTTTGACTGGGTGTAGAAGATGGCTAGGCGTGCATTTCGCTTGGTCTTGGGCTTCGCTTCCTCGATACGTATATTGGAATCTTTGTTCCGTAACGGTAAAACCGAATTTTACTACTTACTGTAAGGTAAAGAAAATACAGAGTTTAGAGTATTGCAATGTGATTGTGACCATGATTTTTTTTTTTTTGTTACTTCCCCCACCCCTGAACGTAAAGGGTTCAGTAACCTTTAACAGAACGAACTCTATGTCTTAAAAAGCAGAGAAGAGGAAGGGTAGAAGCCGTACAAGCCATCCAAAACTCCTATGGCTGCCCCCACTCGTGCAAGCTGAAACAAATGTCGAGTCATCATATCACTGCCTGATAATAACTTGTCTTGACACGCTCTTCTGTTTGTCCTTCTATCCTTGCTGGTGGAAAAGCACCGCCACTTCATACAGTCGTGCTGTGTTTCTCCATTTGCTGCGTGAGATCCTGGTTTGAAGGATGCCTAGTGTTATTTCATGAAAGAACATTTTTCACCAACAATCTCGGAAGAAGACTTGATTCTTTTTCCTTGAACACATATCAAACTTCTTATTTTCTAAATTACCCGGACACACCGCTGCAATGCCAACCATGTACACTTATTTCCCGTAAAGCAGGCTTCTATTTTTTTTTCTAGACCAAAAAATGAACGAACGAAGGAAGTCGCTGAAATTTAGCTTATACTGATGCTTATGCTGATTTGTTATCAGAGAAAAAACATTGTTTGTTCGCTGAAAAGTAGTGCTGAAGAACAGAGCCAGACCATAATTCATTTGTTATATTATATATTGTATATGAATGCTCTAAGAGCATCGGTGAATCAAATCTCTATTCCTACCTTATTACTTCTATAATTTTGTTATATGTTTTCCTTTAATAGAAGTAACTCCACGGTTAAAGTGTGGAAAGATATAAAGAGGATCTTTATTAAATAGCTCTGATCTTACTGATTAAAGTAGTACTTCCTCCGTACTACTTTAACGTTTATGATATTAAATAAATATTATTATTAGATTCTTTGATAATTATATTTTAAATTTTTATAATTTTTCTATAATTTTTATTAGATTTTGGATGGTTTGATTCTCCGTTGTAACGGGGAGCCAGGGAGTACGAGAGAAAAGCTGATCCGTCACCGTAGCCTGCTGACGCCTGGCGGCATCACCGCTGGCACGATTCAGTTTGAAGCAGTCGTCCAAGCGAGCGCTCTAAGGGTCGAGATGGCGGACTAGAGGGGGGTGAATAGTCTTTTCTAAAATTAATCGCGTCGGCTAACCGATATAAATGCGGAATTAAAACAATCGGTCTAGCCAAGACTACACCCCTCTATATATGTTCACTAGCACCTTACAAAGATACTAATAAAGCAACTAAGGTGCCGGGCTAGCTAGAGCTCTCCTAAACAATTCTAGGAGCAAGGTCACACAAACCTATGTCACTAGTACTTTAAGTAACAAGGAAGCTCCTACACATGCTAGTAAGCAAAAGCACAAAGCTAACTAAGCTCACTAGCAATGCTCAATAACAAGGCAACCAACGCCTGATTAGAGAGCGCAAATACTTAGCTACACAAACTAAGCAATGTGACTAACAAGGTTACTAAAACCAAATTAGCCACGCAAGGGAGCTACTTCTATGCTACACAAGCAAGAAGGTAATTAGCTAGCTACACAAGCTATCTAATTACAAGAGCAACTACACAAGCTTAAGATATATATATAAGTAATTGCAAGCTTGTGTAATGGGGATGCAAACCAACGGGAAGAACAAGGTTGACACGATGATTTTTCTCCCGAGGTTCACGTGTTTGCCAACACGCTAGTCCCGTTGTGTCGACCGCTCACTTGGTGGTTCGGGCGGCTAATTAGCATCACCCCGCTAAGCCCGCCGTCGGCGCCGCAAGAACCTACCCTACAGGTGAGGGTAGCTCAATGACACGCTTTACTAGAGTTGCTCTTGGCGGCTTCGCTGGGCGAGCGAGCACAAGTACCCCTCACAAGCACTTCTCGGGAGCGCCGCTGACAAGCTTCTTGCGGCAGCTTGACGGAGACCACCACTAAGCCATCTAGGAGGTGGCAACCTCCAAGAGTAACAAGCACCACCGGCTCGCAACTCGATCACCTAGTGCCACTCGATGCAACCTCACGATGCAATAGCACTAGAATCGCTCCACACACAATCGGATGATCGCTATCAAGTGTGTGTGTGATGGAGGGCTCCCAAGCACTCACAAGTATGGACACTAAGTCCCTTGAGGTGCTCAACACCAGCCATGGCCGAGGGCCACTTCTATTTATAGCCCCAAGGGCTAAACTAGCCGTTACCCTTCATCGGGCAGCGGTCGGGCCGACCGGACGCTCGGTCGTGTTGACCCGGACGCTGGACCTCGGCGTTTGGTCGCCGTAGACGACCACGTGTCCTGGTTCCAACGGTCACTTGACTTGACCGAACGCAGCAGCTTTCAACTGACCGGACGCTGAACCCCCAGCGTCCGGTGCGTTTCAATAAGGTACCGACCTCGACTGGACGCGTCCGGTCACACTTGATCGGACGCAGCCAGCGTCCGGTCACACTCCAGCTTCTGTGTCATCGTACGTCAGCCTGACCGGACGCACCCTGCCAGCGTCCGGTGCTTTCAGACCCAGCGTCCGGTCAGTTGACCGACGCCAGCGTCTTCGCGATCAACTCGTTTTCACTTCTAACTTCATCACCCTTGCTCCAATGTGCTAACCACAAGAACTTGCATCCGGCGCAATAGAAAATAGGCATTATATTTTCCCGAAAGCGCCGAATCCCGCCGAGCAAGCTCGGCGGGAGGGAGAGAGGGACCCAAACCCATCTCACCCCCTAGAACACCACCTCCTTTGTAAATGTGCCAACACCACCAAGTGTACACCACCATGTGTATGTGTGTTAGCATTTTCACAATCATTTCCCAAAGGATGTTAGCCACTCGACTTGCCACGCCACTCGATCCTAGCGACAATGCAAAGTTAGATCACTCGAGTGGCACTAGATGACCGATATGCAAACAAGTTTGCCCCTCTTGATAGTACGGCCATCTATCCTAAACCCGGTCATAAACTTCTCTACACACCTATGACCGGTGAAATGAAATGCCCTAGGTTATACCTTTGCCTTGCGCATTCCATCTCCTTCAATGTCGATGCAACACATGCACCAACACGATCAACAATGATATGATCCACTTCATATCATCACGTGATCATATTGGTTCATCGATCTTGACTTCACTTGCCCTTCACCGTTGCCATCGTCCATCGGGCGCCAAGTCTTGCTCAAGCTTCACCGCCACGCCGTCCATCACTCAAAGCCTTCGACTTGCCCTTCACGCTTGCAGCCGTCCATCAAGCCAAGTCTTGTCTTGATCTTCTCCACCTTGATCACATGACTCAATGTCATGTCTCATGTGCAATAAGCTCCTTCATCATCACATGTGTGAGCTTTGCAACATCTCCAAGCCATTTTCACCTCCATGGCATATGTTGCTCATACACATGTACACCGTGGACTAATCACTGTGTGTATCTCACATAAACACAATTAGTCCACCTAGGTTGTCACTCAATTACCAAAACCAACAAGGACCTTTCAGTTACCGACACGGTGGCAGGGGGAGAGCGCCACGGAGAGCTGCCACCGGCGTGGCGGGAGGAAGGGATGGC